GTGTTTGTAAATAGGATATCATGTCTGCATCTTGTACAGCAATTAACCACTAGGAAGAATGTACGCAATGTGTAAATTATTGAAACTGTCCTACCAGTTTGTTTTGAAACTGTCTCATTGCTATTTGTTTCTCAATAAAATTATGGAAGAAAAAAAAGAATGTATTTTAGGGAATGTGTCTCCTATTTCTGAAATGCTAACCTACTTGGCACTTACCTTTGTAGGAGTCTGTATTCTCGACAGTGGCGAAGAGCATCGTGGAGTCCTGCATGAGCGGCTATAACGGCACCATCTTTGCCTAGTATGTCATTGACTGTGTCTGTGTTGAAGGGTACAACAGTCCATGCAAGTTCAAATGTTTTAACAAATTACAACAAGCGTAGTGGGTTAAGCAACATAGATTTGTTCCTGCAGGCTTATAAGTCACAAGTTCAGTTCTGGTCTCAAGGGCTGAACTGAAGAAGGCAGGGCCATGGTCTTTTCTGGAAGGAAAATCTGCATCCTTGCTTCTTCCTGTTCCCAGAGGCCACCCACATGGCTTAGCTACAGCCCCGCCAACAGCGCTCAGCCCCGACCCTTCTTGCTTTCTCACATCTCTGCCTAGAGCTGGACATAGTCTTGGGTTGGGGTTGCATGTGGTCAGACCCGCCTGCCCACCCACCGCCTGCAGAGGAGAATAGCTGTACCATTTGAAGCCTTCTGTAGGAGCGTGTATGTTTCCTGTTTAGTTGTGTGTGCTACCTGTCCACATGCTGTGGTCTCATAGGGGCTGGTACTGTACTTTGGTCATACCCAGTGTGCATCTCTGTTCCTCACCTTATGCCAGCCTCAGCCGATGGGGACTCCTCTGATGTTGGTCTCTGTGCTCCTCATGGTTCTTTCTCTTGTACTTAGGCCTGAGCCCAGGGCTGCTCACAACCCTAACCTGTTTTATTTTTCTGTTTTGAGACAGTGTCTTGTTAAGTTGCCCACTGTGGCTTCCATTTGCAAACCTCCCACCTCAGCCTCCAGTGCAGCGGGGATTATAGGTGTGCGCCACCTGGTGTGTGCCACCAAGCCTGGCTTATTTCCTGTTCTCAATGAGACAAAGCTACTACAAATATCGGAATGTTGGATTTTGTGTGATAAAAGTTTTCAAATCACTTGGATAAATACTTAGGAATGCATTTGCTGGGTCGCATGTTAAGTGTATAATTAACTTCAGGAGAAACTTTGGAACTTCTTCAGAGTAGCCCTGGTGTCTGTCCTTGAAGTGAGGGGTGCTGCTGCTTTTCCCCTGCCAGCAGCCCAAAAGCACCGCTGTGGTCCCATGTTGGAGTTTCAGCTATGGGGCCAGAAACCATCCTGCTAGTCGAGGTGTTTTGTTTTTGCTTTTGCTTTCAGCAATAGGCTTTTTAGTTCTCTGAAAAACCAGAAGTTTTTAATAGAATGCAGTGAATTTTAGAATTTATTTTGAGCAGCAATTATATATTTTTGGTTTTACTTATTTATTTTATTTTTAGTTTTTTTGGTGGTTCCAGGGATCGAACTCAGGACCTTGTGCTTGCCAGACAATCACTTATTCTACTGAGCTATCTCCCCAGCCCCAAAATTTGAAAAGAAAAAAAAAAATTTTTTTTGAGAAGATTTTTTTTTTTTTTTTTGGCTAACTCAGGCTGCCTTAAGGCAGGGTCTGGTGTGGCTTGTGGAGCTGGGGATTGAACCTTGGTCCCCTGCACCTGACTGAGTTTGCACAACGAGGCACCTGAAACAACTGAACTAACCTGCAAGCCCCCCAAAAACTTGGATTCTTTTTTTTTTTGGCTGGCTCAGGCTGCCTTAAGGGCGGATCTGGTGAGGCATGTGGAGGTGGGAATCAAACTGCAGTCCAGTCCGCTGTGCCTGACTAGGCCCAAGCAGGCGCTTCAAGCAACTGAGCTAACCTGCAAGCCCCTTTGGTTTTATTTTTGTTTGTGCTTATATGTCCTGATTCTTCTATAATTGGCTCAGAATTCAAGAAAATAAAGACTGAAGCAGTTAAAGCCTTTCTTTGTTTTGTACATGTTTTCTACTGGGAACATTTGCCCTTTTTTTCTTCTTAGTACTAGGGATTGATCCCAAGGCCTTGTAGGTGCTAGACAAGTACTCTGTCACTGCACTAAACCCCAGTTCTTTTTATTCTGTGAGGGGGTCTCAGTAGTTGCCTGGGCTGGACTTGAACTTCTGATTGTCTTGCCTTAGCCTCCTGAGTGCCAAGAAGTCGTGCTTAGCTTCTGTGGACTCAGCACAGCTACATGTTCCCATCTGAGCAAAGGAGCAAACTGCTTTCGCATGTCTGCTAGGAGAGCAGTTTTTGTGTTTTTCAGGGTGAGGTTCTGAACGCCTCTGTCAGAGCCACTAGTGCCAGAGCTGCTCTGTTTCCAGAAGGGCTTGCTTTGAAGATGCTGTATGCGTGCTAATAGTCATAGGGACTTCGTAGCTTGGTGCGTGTTGCTTCCGGGGATTGTAGGCAGCCCTGAGAAAGCACTGGGAGACCAGGCGTTCGTAGGAGAGCGTGCCCGCTGCTGTGCTGAGGACAGCTGGCGTTCTAGAGCAGTCGATGGCGGCCCGCCCTCCTTCCTCAAAGCCTGCCTAGGGAACAGTTGGGCTTACCCAGGTTGGGAAGACTCAGCAAAACCCATTTCTCATTCTTAGTTATTACTCAACTTTCCCTGCCAGCTTCCAAGATTACAAGATACACGTCTGACGAACTTTTACTAGTGTGGGAGGACATTTAATCAAGAAATAAATTCAGGCTTTCGTATTTTGGCTTTGACCCTAAGCTACAGACGTTTCACATGGTGATTGACAATTCTTTGTAAAATATGGTCTTAGTAAGTTTTTTCTTGCTGCCATTTCTGGTAAGTGGGGTAATGAGCGCAACGCTGCACAGAACAAAGCTAGAGCAGGAGAGCTTTTTAAGTTGCCTTACACTATGCAGACACTTTAATACCTTTCCAAGACACATAACTGGGGAAGGAATTGCTTAGTTATTTAAGGGGGCAGAATTGGAAACAAAAGCTCAGTTATGGTGGTTAAATGAGTCACTCCCTGAGCTCCTACATCCATGAAAGGCTGCCTGACCGTTGTAGGCAGTGATGCAGACCTCTGTGTATGGGATTGGAAACCACCTGAGATAAAATAAGGAGAACAGCGGGCACAGGGCAGTCTGAGGGCATCACGCCAAGTTTTGCAGATGAGAAGTGCGATAGCTCTGTTTCTGTAATCTGGATGCACTTAGCAGATGTTAACAGAGGTTAGCTCTTTGGTGTGGGATTGAAGGGAAAAAAACCAGACCATTCACTTTTTTTTTTTTTTAATAAGGATTTTTTTTTTTTTTTTTGTTCCTCGAATGCCTTCAGGGCACTTTTGGCCAG